TTGACTTTGGGCTTGGTCAATAATGCATATAAATCATTCTTGTTTTACCCAATATTGTTTATTTTAGAGTCTCATTTGAAGAAAAGGAGAGAAGGAAGCTTAGAAAACAAGAAATTGATGAGGTTAAAAATCTCGATTGTTGGCAACCAGCAAATCCATTATCACCTGTTCTACAACTCCCCGGGATACATGGATGACACAGTGTTTAAATATTTGTATAGAACTAGATAGAGAATTAGGAACTTGTTTTTAAAATTGCTATTTATCTCAGCTTGAAATTTGATGATCAATTCTCCAACATTTTGTTTCTCTTTTGATCATGTTTCCATGCAGTATATTTTGTACTATTTTTCATATTATACATGCGTAACTGTACAGGGTGAATTTGCTTCTGCTATTTTTTTTACAGATGTATTTAATATTTTTGTCAATAAATAATTTTGAGGCTGGATGTAAATTTTTTATGTCCATATTGAAATCTTGGGATGTCGACACAAAGAATTTTGATATGTTTACCTTTGATAAAAAAATTGCTGTTTTTCAGCCTGCATGGTCTTTTATTTGACACAATCTTGTTAGGGGAAATCTAAAACTGTGTCAAGTCATAGTTTTTACAGCAGACTGGTTATGAAATCAGCAAACATCAAAGTTGAAAACAATGGTGCTGTAGTTTATGTTGGAAGTTCACTGACCTTGCACAATCCTTTGTTTTTAGTTCACAAATTGTGACTGAATAAACTAACGTGACGTTTCTATTGGACAGTAAGTTCAAAATGACAGGAATGCTATTGAAGATTGTGCACAGCCAGGTCCAGAAAAGCTAACAAAAACATTATAACAGAGGAGTCTAACGGGCGTCATAACCATTCCACTTGAAAAACTACATTCAAGTTTTGCAGTATACATTAGATATTATGTTAAAGTCAATTTTCCTATTTCAGTTAATTTTTACTTTGCAATTGTTTTTAGGTATGGTAATGTATGCTAATGAATTTAAAACAAAGGAAAAACAAAAATTAACTGAGATAAAAAATTAACTGCAACATATGTTATACATATAACCCATCTCAGCCACGGTTGATCTGTTTACATTTTTATTTTTATACTGCTTTCTGTAACAACACTCAACAAAATGACAACAGTCACTGGGTATGACTTGCAGTTGTATCTGAAGTACAGAAATAGCATTTGAAATAAAGAAACAGAAATAAGAAAGTAGAGAAATTCAAGGACTTTTCAAACCTAATAAAGAAATCAAGTACTCAGTCAAGGACTTTTCAAGATGACTAATAACAATAAAGACCTTTTCCAGAGTGTACAACTATGAAATTGAAGTTAATCGCAAAACTACATTTGTTTCTTCGTGCATACATTCCCTGGAATTGCACAACTTAAATGAAAACTGTTCAAAAAATGAGAGTTAAAATATTGCTATTCAGTGTTGTTTTTTACTTAACCCTTTAAGCCCTAAGAGTGTTCAGCATCAAATTTCTCAGGTTGTAATGTCAACACTTTGTAAAACAGTCAGTGGTCATGAGAATTACAGACATGATCACACAAGATGAATTTGCTTGATATTTTATCAACTTCTCCCCTCTAGAAGGGGCAACAAATGAGAATTAAAATTTTGATCTTAGAGTTAAAGGGTTAATGGCTGAATCCGGGAGTGGGCAAGTCAACGAAGCAAATCTCGCATTCTGATTGGCGGGCCCATCTTAACTGCTAGGGATTTCCCACATTGGTCCTTGTTTGAAAAAGTTCTTGTTTTATAGCCATATTAATAAATAATATTTCTTGTTGACCAAGCTTGTTCAGTCAAGGTTGTACATTGGCCTCGTTTTTTTTAGTCTGCCACATAGCCGTGTTTAGTGTTGTCACGCAATGCTCCTTCAGTGTGGAGGAGCGTTGCATGATGACACTAAAAACGGCTGTGTAGCAGACTACGTTTTATTTTGTGTTTTTATTGATCTTGACTTTGCCTCAGTCAATAATAACACAAAAAAAGTCAATATACAACCATCTTGACTTTGGGCTTGGTCAATAATGCATATAAATCATTCTTGTTTTACCCAATATTGTTTATTTTAGAGTCTCATTTGAAGAAAAGGAGAGAAGGAAGCTTAGAAAACAAGAAATTGATGAGGTTAAAAATCTTGATTGTTGGCAACCAGCAAATCCATTATCACCTGTTCTACAACTCCCCGGGATACATGGATGACACAGTGTTTAAATATTTGTATAGAACTACCGGTAGATAGAGAATTAGGAACTTGTTTTTAAAATTGCTATTTATCTCAGCTTGAAATTTGATGATCAATTCTCCAACATTTTGTTTCTCCTTTGATCATGTTTTCATGAAGTATATTTTGTACTATTTTTCATATTATACATGCGTAACTGTACAGGGTGCATTTGCTTCTGCTATTTTTTTTACAGATGTATTTAATATTTTTGTCAATAAATAATTTTGAGGCTGGATGTAAATTTTTTATGTCCATATTGAAATCTTGGGATGTCGACACAAAGAATTTTGATATGTTTACCTTTGATAAAAAAATTGCTGTTTTTCAGCCTGCATGGTCTTTTATTTGACACAATCTTGTTAGGGGAAATCTAAAACTGTGTCAAGTCATAGTTTTTACAGCAGACTGGTTATGAAATCAGCAAACATCAAAGTTGAAAACAATGGTGCTGTAGTTTATGTTGGAAGTTCACTGACCTTGCACAATCCTTTGTTTTTAGTTCACAAATTGTGACTGAATAAACTAACGTGACGTTTCTATTGGACAGTAAGTTCAAAATGACAGGAATGCTATTGAAGATTGTGCACAGCCAGGTCCAGAAAAGCTAACAAAAACATTATAACAGAGGAGTCTAACGGGCGTCATAACCATTCCACTTGAAAAACTACATTCAAGTTTTGCAGTATACATTAGATATTATGTTAAAGTCAATTTTCCTATTTCAGTTAATTTTTACTTTGCAATTGTTTTTAGGTATGGTAATGTATGCTAATGAATTTAAAACAAAGGAAAAACAAAAATTAACTGAGATAAAAAATTAACTGCAACATATGTTATACATATAACCCAGAAAACAGAAACTCATTTGTGAAATTTATTATAAAAATGTTCTCACAAACGAACAAGCAAAAAAACTGCAAAAAAAAAGAAAAAAAAAAGAAAAGCGAAATTCAAATTTTATTTTGACATGCCACATTGACCTAGGAGCACATAAGTTCTTTTTTAAATGTGAAAAAACTATAATATGTACTTAAATGTTTTGAAATAATTTTTTTTCAAACTTATACATCTTAATTAATAAATAGTGTAAATTGCTATTTTAGTATTTTCAAAGAACAAATATATATTTTTCTTTAGAGCACTTATTAACTTAAATGAATTTGGTGATAGCACAATCTTTGAGGCCGTAAAAGTTCTTTTAAAATACCGCAATAAAATTATTAGTCACTGTAATTAATAAGTACAATGAGTAACTAATTGTCTGTGAATGTATAATAATTTTATAATATAAAAGCAAAGTTACTAATATATGCACAAGGAAGAAAGGATTAACATGTATTTACTGTGATGGTGTATTTTTTGGAAATACTAAAGACTAATGTGGATCACAGAATCTCATGAAACATAATTGCGTGAGATTTTACATAAAGTAAAAAAAGAATTTAGATACAAGTAGTTAAAAAGTGTATATAGAATAGTCCATTTGAGGCTTTTAGTTTGAACAAGCAAAAAGAGTATTACTAAATGCTTAAAACAAGAGGACAAAAGTTGATCCAACTCCTTATTTCCTGAGCTCACTCTTCTTTTGCTTGGCCCAGCTACTAAAGTAAGCACCTACAATTAAAAAACTAGGCTTGATTCAAGCTTCTGTTAGTGGGAAACTCGCACTTGATGTAGGAGATGGAGGAAACTGAGCTTAACCTGTGACATGCTCCATTAATAATTGCTGATAAAACTGCCTTAAGTACTACCTTACTTTCATTCTTTGAGAAGGGCAATACTCAAAAGAAACTCAAAAAATACATCATAAGATAGTAGTGATGCTTGGTTAAAACTTTTCAGATGATCTTCTGAAGATTACCTACAAAAAAGAGAAAGGATGTTCTGATTTAAGATGATCTTTAATAATTTTTGTCCGAAAAAAAGGCAAAATAAAGTAAAGCCACAAGGTGTCAGTATGTTTAATTACCTGTTACACTGTTTAAGACATTGGCAAGGTCTTCTGGTGTGTTCATATCTTGTCTCTGTGAAGGGGGAATATCAAGCTGATATGCTGGTCCATATGATAAGAAATACTGCAAAATAAAAGATTCATGTGCAGGTAAAAAGAGGATATCTATAAAAACTCTCTGGTTTGGGAAGCTGTTGGGAACAATAATTATTGATAGTAACAGGAGTCATTCAAGTCCTATTCGATCTGTATATCTTAAAAGATTTTGTTTGCATGTCTAGAATACAGGTCACGTTCCACAGTGAAGTTTGGACTACCAATATATAAACAAGGTCTTGACCAGCAGAGATTTTGTAAATTGAAGACCCATCCTTGTAGCCAAAATTTTGTGTAGCGACAGAAAACACTTTGTTTCTCTATAATTACATTCCATAAATTTCTGTTTTCTTTTGTCACTTATATGGCACATCCCAATGAATTTCTTAATGAACCTGCTATATTTATCGAGACGATTTGGTTTTTATAAAATAATAAGGTGCTTTTATTGGCCATATTTCCATCTGAAGGGCTCTTAATCTGCTAATTCTTCTATGTGGGCGGTATTCATTCAGTAATACCATCCTGACTATTCAGATGGAAGAATTTTGTTATAGTTATGATATGAGATAGTTCTATTTTACCTCATGTTCTGGAATGTCAAGGGGGAGTTGCTGATTAAGAACCAAGCCAGTCAAGTATGTCCAACACCTTGCAGCATTTTGCACATTGTACCCTCCTAAAAGTGGGACATCACCAAATGAATATTGCTACAGTCTCAGACAAAAATAGTTGGGACACTTTAACCAAACGCTGTTTTTTACCTTCTCGTGCTCCCCTCGTCCCTCTCAAAGTTGTTTATCGCGGTTTGGTCACCAAATCTTGTACACCAACATTGAGGGGACAAGGACACCCCAAAATGTCCCAACCATTTTGACTGAGACTGTAGATACACTCACTGAAAGATCAATGTTAACTTTCTTGATCCCTGATCTCACCTGTGTTACTGTAGGATATTTATTTTTCCATGTCACTAAATTGTGTGGGACAAAATGTTGAATGATGTATTTAAGTGCTAATCCTTTAGCCTTAAGTAGAGAAGATATTCTCTTGACATTTCTGCTATTCCTTTCTCATGACAACTGGCACTATTAGTTCTGATATAACACCAAAAATCTTGCAAGGAGTACTTGTTCAAAGGGAAAAACAAGTAGGCCACTTTTGAATTATCTAAGGCTGAGGGGAATAAAACAAAAGAAATCACATTGAGATTTAGGGATTAACAATTCCCTTCATTTGTTTCATTTCCCTATAAAAAATACAATTTGTAGTTTTTATACATGTATTTTATGGTTTAAAAAACATGAGAAGGTCTTGAAAAAAATTCATGTCCGGTCATCTGGGACAAGTACTGGTAGATTTTCTGGATCAATTTAGGTTTCTGGGAAACTTCCTACCTACCCCTCCCCTAACCCAACATTTTACTCCAAAGGAGACGCAAAGGTTAAAGTTGATTTAGAGAAGGGGTAGGTGGGGAGTTTCCCAGACACCTAAATTGATCCGATTTTCTTGCTGGGCAAATAAGTAACGTTTGAAGCTCACTTGCCTCACTTGACTTCAAGGGTCTGAGCAAGTCACCTTGTATAACTAAATCAACAATGGCAACAAGCAAGGAATGGCCCTGGAAGGCAAGCAAAATGAGAGAGCTGCTTGTCCAAAACTGATAAACTTGATCCCTGTTGAGTATTAGGGTTAACTGCTCACAACTTACCCCCACCAAGAAGCAGAAGAGGCAAGTTCCAGTTCATGAGGTATTTAACACACTCTCCAATGCTTTGTTGGGTGAGATTAAAGGATGCCATAGGATCACCGGCAAGTGTATCAACTCCACACTGACAAACAACTGCACTCGGTTTAAATCTTGTCCTTACCTCTGACATAACCCTGAAAAAGAGAATATTTCAACCATTTCAACCAACAACCATTGTTAATTTCAACCTAAAGATGACAATAATACCTTTTGTGTACAGAAAAAGAAGCCATTGGAGATTAATGGGCTAACCATGAAGAAGAAGTGACTGAACTATTTTTATCTCAGAGTGAAATTTCTTTTAGTTCCGTTCATTACTTTTCTTAAAAATTAGGAAAAGGGGCCACAGGCACCCTTAGAGTTAACTCCCCTTTAGTCTACCACTTTGCACCTCTGTGGGTGTATTAAGATGCAGTGGTCCATGGCCTTTCAGGCTTTTTGCTGACCAACATTCAATTCCCTGAAAAATTTACTGTTGAACCAAAAATAAAGGTCATGAAAAAGAGGTACTGGTAACTGAACACCACTGAAGATAAAAATTAAAAATTCTGTTTTGATTATCAAAGGGATTTCAAGCTCCTTAGTTGCCTTGAAAATATATAGAGAGTGGTGCAGAGGAAATCAATGTCTTCTTAAAATTCTCACAAGAAATAAAAACTAATAATAATAGTACAGTCAACCATCTCTTGATGGACACCTCTATAAGACAGACACCTCTGTAAAACGGACACCTAGGTCCCTGCTTTTCTTTACTCCCCTTATTTGACTCTCTATAAGACGGACTTCTCTCTAAGGCAGACACATAGTACTGGTCCCAAAGGTGTCTGTCTTAGGGAGAGTTGACTGTAATAGTTAACCATTTTCTTAAATAATACACGGTACTCACTTGAAAAACAGTTCTGTAAAGGGCTTATCTCTTATTCCATCCTTAAGAGGTATGTTGAGTGAGTAATATTTTCCTTTTCCTTCCCCGACATCTAAACAGGAACCAGTACCTGCAAATCAATAGTATCAATGTTCCTTTAAGTTGTTAATAAAAATGTGACATACTGTACGATTCTAAGAGCCACAATTTTCGCAGTGAATGTTACTCCCATTTTAGCATATAATTTATTAAGGAAAACATGCCAGCAGCACCCGGTGGCCTTTGCTGACTAATTTTAAGCCTTAAATGTTTGGGCCGGCTCCCCACAACAGTAAAGAGGTCAAGGAAAACAAGGTACCAGGTAATTGAAAGCATGGTAAAAAGTGTAAATACTTACCAGGGAAAAATCCTGGAGAATATTTATGAAATGACACAGACATCACTTTGGAAGTAAAAGAAAAAGCATCTTCAACACCTACCAGAAGCAAAGGAATGTTACAGTAATTGTTTTATCCTTTTGGACCAAGTTCACGATAATTATGATTTATTTCTTTTATTTTCACTTTTTGGTTGCTATTTTGGGAGGGAACAAACTAGGCTCTCAAAGTTTCTGATATTGAGATCTACAGTCACCAACAAAATTAGTTAAGACACTTTGCCCTAAGGGGCCTTTTTGACCTTTACCTTAAGCTTTCCCTATCCCACCCCTTCCATGCAATATTGTGTCGCGGTTTGTGCTACCTGTAGGAAAAAACAAACACCCCAGCTTTGAGTGGAGGGGAGTAGGGGGGAGGGGTGTGAATTGTTTTGTTCTCAGAAGTTTCTTCGGCCATTTGAGGAACACGTCTTAACAATTTTGTTGCTTATTGTAGTTCCTATCAGGTCTCTTGCTTTCTAAAATTATAGCAAAAATAAATCACTAGTCTTAGTCAACTCCATGCATTTACAGAGCAAAAAACATTTTAGAATTCTTGGACGTTAAAGGTAAAGACAGACACTAACCATCTCCATGGTGCAGATCAATGTCAACGTAAAGAATTTGATCAAACTTCTCACGTAGCTTAAGAATACCTAACACAACATCATTGATGTAGCAGAAACCAGCTGCTTCATGCCTGGAAAGACAATGTATCTGTCAGCACTGTATATACAGTCAATGTCTGATAACTTGAACCCTCTAGGGAAATTGAAAAAGGTTCCAGTTATCGGGAATTTGATGCAGAGTTTTACAGAATTAACTTTGGGATTTTTTATGAGCATTGGTTTGGGACAATCACAAGAAAGAAAGAAAAGTTTGAACTGTGTTCAATGGTATCAGTTATTATTTTTAAATAATATTAAATCAACATGTGGAGCATTAAAAGAAATCGTACCTCTGTGCATGATGCCAGCCACCCTGCCAATTAATTGCTATATTGCACTCCCTTTTATTCAGCATTTCTGTAGCAGCCAAAGTAGCTCCAGCCACATTGCACACACAGTTAAATAATTCATCAAACACTGGACAATCAAAACCTAAAGGAAATGACATCAAAGACAAATAAAGTAAAAACCTGCAAATAAGAACCTAGCTGGTTTTTAAGAACCTGTTTGGATAAAATTTGCAGTTATACCCCCTCTCAATACAAGAACATGGTTCGTACAACTTCAGACAAAAAAATTCAAGGACTTTTCAAGGACAAATTAAAGTTTTCCAGGTTTAAGATTGCTTCAGTAACTTGGCTTTCTTCGACCACCGTTTGAACACCTTACCGGCTAAAACACTCAACAGATGTCATTTGCGAATTTTTCCCTTCTAACCCATGGTTGATCAGTTTAGTTTAGGTTATTATTTTTATATTAGTTTCCATAACAAAACTTTGGAGAATGACCATGGTTTGGGTACGACTTGCAGTTGTAACTGAAGTACGGAAATAGCATTTGAAATAAACAAACAGAAATAAGAAAGTAGAGAAATTCAAGGACTTTTCAAGACCTAATAAAGAAATCAACTAATCTTCAAGGAACTTTAACGAATTCAAGGACTTTTCAAGAAGACTAATAAAATTCAAGACCTTTTCAAGATTGTAAGAACCACGAAGAACCTGTTTAGTTTAAAATTTGATTTTACAGGTTCTTATTTTCTATCTCTAAAAATCAAATTCAACCTGAATTTAATTTCTACCTACAACAAAATATTTCTACCAATTAATTAAATACCACTGATAATATTAGGTAAAAGGACAATACAGTGTAAACAGCCATAGAGCTAACATGGCTGGAGCTTATCCAGTTTTTTGTAACAAAGAGTACCTGCCCCCCTCAATATGGATGCTTGTCTAAAAAAGGGTTACACTCAGTAGTATATGTTATTGGATACCTAAGTGAAGATAAGTGAATGAATACACAATGGGACAAAGTTTCTTGTCTACGGGAATGATGTGATTGGGAGGCACTCTACCAATAGTGACATGTTAACCTCAATTACCCCCATTTCATCTCCAAGATCATGATATTATACAAACCTAAGCCATAATCTGAAGCTGTCTCGGCCTCCATATCTTCACAATCATCACAATTTGTTAACTTTTGCAAGCACTCTATGTAATCCATAGAGTGAAATGCAGAAAGCTCATGAACTGTTGCCCTCCTAGGCTGAATAATTCTGTCAGAGACATAGAGAGTTTTTTTGTATCAATCAAGTGTTGTTAATCGAAAAATAATGTGCCATAGTTTAAATCAGGTGGTTGAAGTTAGACTAGACACCTGTGATGCCATTGACTTACAGTTCAAGTACGATCTGACAAAACTGATAACCAACCAGGTACAATATAAATTTTAAACACAAGCTTACCTGCTCTCCTTTGCAGGTACGCTATAAAATTGAAGTGGTTAACGTATGTTGTTTACACAAATTAAAATCAAAAATAGTTCACCGATGAAATTTAATGATGGATCAGAATGGAGTCGAATCAATTGATCTTTTTATTCAGGAAAAAAAAACTTTGTTATTCATAGAAATAATTCAGATGTCAACAGATTAATTCTTTTTGGTCTTATTAAAATTAATACAGGTATTTTATGAAACAGGATTGACTGTGATTTGGCTTAACTTTCGGGAGTAAATACACGAAATTAAATTGTAATCAGAGTACCTGATATTTTCGAGAAGTCCATAAGCTTTGATGAGAGAATGCGTTAACGATGCCTGTGAGTATGAGAAATTTTAAAAGCTTATGTTAGAGCCTGAATGAAACTTGTAAGATTAGCCTGTGTGCAGCCGGGCGGCTGTACACAGGCTACGAAGTTTTGTAATTGATTGATTAACGATCATTTGTATCTCAGCGAAATTAAAAGACAAAACCACATCACAGAAGGTAAACGAAAGGTTACATACCCGTTTGGGAACTTTAGGAAGCTTGTCGCACAATTTTAAAAGTTCCTCTGAGTGTACTAAAGCAGCCTTCGCGCTTCTTACTGGCCTCTTGAACGACTGGGCGCCATTTTCTCGCAACGCCATCTTCAAACTTGCGCGGGAAACAGTGTCACAAAAGAACAAACTCCCACTCACTAGGGTGGGTTACCCACTGACCACTAGATGGGTTTCAGGTTTTCTTATAAACTTTGAATGGCGACTCTTTTTGATAAAAGGTATTTGTCTTGCATCATAAAAGGTGTCTTTATATTTTTTGCATAGTTTACATAATTTTTTTAGAAAAATGGATCATGAAATATTCGTTTCCCGCAACAGTTTATGTCACCTTGTTCCGTGGGATCCCTAGGGAGCAGGGGAGAGTCCATAACCTCGTTTTCAGTTTGAGGTTGTTACATGTTTGACATCTTACTTTGACAGAAGAGCACTGCTCGATCCGGGACTGCAGCATGCAAGCGCTTCTCGAGGATGATAGGCTTTCTCTCATCCATGGGATAGCTTATCTCTTCATTTTGGGCGAAACACTCCTAGTATTTTTTTGATTCGGGAAGAAGCACAGTCTTCAAGCGGCGGTGGGTAAAATTTAACTTGCTATGCACCAATTGTCGTTGTACGCGCCTTTGGTGTGGATTCGTAGCCGGGATTCGTGGCTCATCAACTGACCGGCCCGAAGTTTGGACAAATTATTTCAACGAATAACATGAATGATGAATTCGTAGCACTCACTAGCATCTTTCAGTAAGTTTAGCCTGACAATTATCCTTTGTTTTAAATTTGCGTGGGATTTTCTCGGAAATTTGAAGCTCAATTCTGGCGTATTCGTGCGAGCGGCCGTGGAAGTTTCGAGCAACTTGAAATAGCTTCCGTCGTGGTCGATAATGTAGTAGTTTGCGTACCATTTGCCTTTTCCATCTTGAGCTCTAAATGTTTCCATTCACCTAATCCTGAAAATTCTCTCTCTTTTGCATTTTGTAGTTGAAATGTTTATGGTACGTATGGTATTTCGGGGAAGAGGACGGCCCGTGGAAAAACGTACGTTCCCTCTTCAGAGGCGGGAAAACACTGCCCAGCGACAACCAGGTATTTTTGTAAAGGTGGCGGGGGATGAAAAGGGAATCGGGTGTTGACCTTGAATCCTGCTCAAACATTTTGTTTCGTTATTTCATTATTCCAGTTAAAAAGAACTCACTTTTTGGAATGATTTTTGCAGTGGACCTCTCAAAATCTTGATCTGACAAACATCACTCCTTTCTCTGAATTTACTGCCAAGAAATTCTCCTATTTTTCTGAACACTTTGGTTTTTAAATGAAGAAAATCGGCCACATAGAAGTTTGAATATTTTTTAATTAACAAAAATGTGGAAATTATTGTGGCCGGCAAAGGGCAGCTACCTATTTTTGTTTTGAAAGTGTCTGAGAACTCGAGTTGTCAGGTAATTTGTTTGGTAATTTGTTTAGTAGTTTTGTAGTTTGTTTTGCTGTTTTACCAGTTCCCATTTCCCGCCACGTAGCACCCTATCCAACATGCTTGCAAATTAGAATGGCGGCCAAAATTTTTCATCCAAGAATGTTGGCAGCACTAGAAAGTAAAAATCTGTGTTTCTTTCTGGACACGCTTTAAAGTGCTCCTTACCCCCAAATTTTTTATTTGCCTGTGACCTGTTGAATTGGAGGATAATTTGGTCCAGTACCGAGCAACATGGGATCTGGAACGAGTGCCAGGGCTGTCATGTGATATGACGTAGATTCGGGAACCGAAATTCCCGCAACCAAAGCATCGCCAAGCAATTTATCTCACCTCTGCATGATGTGGAAGACGTAGAAGCAACTTTCAAGCCAAATTTCGGTTACCAGAAGATATAATTTAACCATATTTTGCAATGTCGTCCTCTGAAGATTCAGCGGTAAGCTGCACCGATTCAGAGTATGAGATGGAAGTAGAAAGTGATCTTGATCGCAAAGCATTGCCACCGACAAGCGATGATGAAGCTCGTTTATGTTGCACAGGACAGTCTCATTTTTGGGATCTGGAGCACTAATAAACATAAATGCTGGAATGTATTCCTCCTGTCTATCACAGAGTAAGACCATCCCAGTTATCAGCCTTGATTTTGCTTTATTTACCTTTTCAATCAAGATTGACCAATACCAAAATTCTCACTGGAATACCAAATTTATGAACAGGAATACAATGTTATCAATTATCTCTTAAGAAAATTGTTCAGATCTTTTAGAACGTCTCCTATCTATGTATTACAAGACCAGTCAGGATAAATTAAATGAAGATAATTATTTGACTTTACAAGGTTGATAGTTGTAATATCCCCTTGGGGCTCACTAGTTTTGGTTTCATAAAAATAGGGAGGGGGGGGGATATTCTGGAAGCAGTATTTCACAGTCGTAGGGGAGTACATAGCGTAACCACCCCTGCACTTTCAGAGCAGTGTTCAAATTCTCAAAAGGGTTTTCTCCCTTGTTTTGGTTTTGCTTTATCACACTGGTGTGATGGAAAAATCTTGTGCCATTGCCACATTCAGTAAATTCTTGATACTTATCCGAAAGATTTACTTCAAGTGGTTCACTACATTTTTTACATCAATAATTTTTTAGATTAGCCACACTGTTTCCTTTTGGTTGGTTTTGCAATTGCTGGTTTGCAATTGACATCATGCTGGCCATGTTGGTGTGGTGTGTTAGGGTTAAGAACAAAAGCGTTTTCTCCTCTGGAGTTAGACCCCATTTTCATGTAAATTCTTTGCGAAAAAATTCTATTGTATTGACCACCAACATGGCTGCCTTGTCATGTGGTTGCAAGCCTAGAATATTCGAACAAAAACCGCTTTAGTGTTTAACTATTTTTGTCTCCTATTGCGTGGACAATCCACAACATTTTTGTGGCCCTTCAGAGGCTTCTTGCACTCCCGGCATTTTCTGGTTCTTTTCTCTCTCCTCTGAGACTGCTGTCCAGTGGTTTCTGGGACCTGAGAGACTGGTGAGGCAAAAAAAATTGTGACTTTACATTACAAATTCCTGTAGTAGTACTTGCATTGGTAAAGAGATGACAATAAAAAAAAATTGTTCAGATGAGGAGATTTTGCCATAGATTATCTATGAAACAGTTATAATAATTGGTGGAGTGTACAGCAGTGATGTGATGCAAAGTACCTGGTTTGGTTGGAGGGACATCTGTTACCACCATTTTGCTCCTTTGTTGCCTCTTCAGCAAAGCGGCTGCTCTAGGCTGCTTCTCGAGCATGGTGTTCATTGCAGCAGGGGTCTTCTCATAAAGCTCGTATTTGCATTCTTCAATTCATCTTTGCTCGCATTCATATATGTCTGAAATATCTCCTCAACATTCCCTAAAATAAAAACAGAAAACTCGGTAAAAATAATACTTTTTCAGATTTTTGAAAACAAAAATTTTCAAGTTCACATCTGGAGATCCAAATGCTTACCAAGGTTGGTTCAACTCTCACATCTCTGACAGTAGCTTCACCATTCTTAAACTTTGGGTAAGATACTTTCACCCTCTAAACCCCATCTTCCTCTTGACATTTCACCTCTCTATGCAGATTAAACCTTTAGTTACCAAGTTTCTGAGAGGTAATTTTTTGCGACCCCGCCTAGTCGCGAAAAAAGGGGAAATAACTTTGAAGGGTTAATCAATACCACCCCCATAACTATATATCATGATAATCAGCAGGAATTGATCTTTTACTTTCACTATGATTCAGCATGATTTACTTCAAAAATATGCTGCACTCTAAACAAAATCTACATGAAAAAAAATTTCAGTAAGCTGCATCCCTGGATTCTACGTGATCCCTCATGAAACCTTTTCATGGGACCTTTCTAATTTTATAATGACAAGAAAGGCACACTTTCAGACTTTAGAATGCTACAAACTTTACTGAAATATGTTGAATATGAACAAAGTTATGCCCTTTTTTACAGCGGCGGTCGGACAAAAATAAAAAGTCCCAACAACAGGTAACTTATCTATTCATCCTAAAATTCCTGCTTTATGTCAGTTGTTGTTAAAAAAAACTTTATTTGTGGTAGTTTCTAACTACCTAAGGCTTATGATAACCACTGATTGTTATTTACATGCACAAGACAAGTCTGCCTTCAAATAATTGGTAAAACATGAACATTAGTGACCTCGTATGGTTGCATTCGGCATAAAACATTGTCTTTAGCATTTCCTTTTTTGGGAGAGAAGCCAATAAAACAATGTAAAATCAGAAAATGTCTCATTATTGTGTCCTGACCCTAAGCATTTAGCCAGTATTCTACTCTGGTGTGCCACATGTTCCAACAAGACCTCTGCTTGTTGACACAGAGTGCAACGTCGCCAATGCGTCGGCCAATTCTAGCACGAAATGACTGCCCGGCAATAAGCTGCCGAGCAATGTTGACCCTGAACCTCAGAAATTCTTGCTTGCAAGCAGGCTTGGCTTTTCTCATTATAATAAACGAGTTCAATAGACAGACTTCAAGACCGTAAGCGAAAAGCTTTTTCCATGCTTTGCGCGATTTCCTCACAACAGAAAATGATTTCAGCATCTGATCTGCGAGGTTGACCCCACCCATGAATTTTTGGTAGTCCACCTGGGCTGGGGGGCATGGAAGGGGTTGTCTTTCGCCTCTACCTTCTCTACGAAGAATAGTTGTTGGAACATCTGTGGATGGTGGATGAATTGTAGACAACAAATAAACTGGACGCTTGTCAAGCCAACCAATTGCGACAAGCTGCCCATCACTGCGCCATAAATATTCTCCTCGTGTCATGTTTCTTTGCCTTTGCTTGGTGATGACAGTCTCATCAGGAAATCCTTTGCGGTTGGGCCGCACTGTGCTACAGGCAAAAATGTTTTTGCCCAGGAGTTCCTTGAACAAATATGGATCATTATAAAATTATCCATATATAAATGGTGATTCCTATCATGTTCGGTAACAGTGAGGTCATGTACTTCTCTTCTTGCAAGATTTGTTTCAGGGTGTCCTTCTTGTTTACCCAAATAAACTTGAAACCTGTACACATATCCTGTCTCAGCCTCACACAAAACCCACAGTTTTATCCCCCACCTTGTGGGCTTGTTCTTTATATATTGTTTGAAACTGAGACGTCCTTCGTGGGGGACGATAGTTTCATCGATAGAAATATCTCTTGACAGCCTGTATTCCCTTTCAACATTTCTACTTATTATTGTAAGGAAATTCCGGATTCTGTAGATTTTATCATGTCCTACAGTTCCTGGCGCTGCTGCCTTAGAGTTATCCTCCAAGTGGAAGTAACGCCAAATTTGAAAAAAGCGAGTTCTTGGCATGATATTTGCAATGCTCTCGTGGTGAATCAGCTGGTCAGACTCCCAGTACATTTGAAAGTGTGGTAGTCTAACAATCCCCATAAGAGTAAGCATGCCAACAAAAGCTTGTACTTCACCTTTAGTCACAGGGTGCCATTCTGTTTTGTGGTGATCTGGGTCTGAAGCCTTTTGTTGTTCGTAATAACGATTGGTTTCAGAAACTATTATCTCCCACATTTCATTATTGAATAAATGTTCAAAATAATCTTTTTCCTGCACATCTTGAAACCTACTTGTAGGCCCAGGATCGGGCTTGTTGAAAGGAGGTGGTTCTGGAGCTTGATAGGTAGAGCTCCAGTTGATTGGTGGTTGATTTGCATCTCTCCCTCTTGCATGGTTTACTCGAGCTCGGCCTCTTCTTCCTCTTGCACCCCCACCGCGAGCAGTTCCACAATTTCTTCTGGCTAAAGGACTTCTGGATCTTGAAAGGTCATTTTCCACTGTAAATAAACAAAATATAACAGATAAAGTTTTTGAAAAGCTTCGAAGAAATCGTATTCACTAAGAAAAAGTAAAAAACGCTTTGAAATGATCAATTTTCAAAGAAAAACAAACATACACTTACCTTCACTCACTTCTGAATTGCTTTGACTGGTCTCATCAGCCTCTTGTTCCTCACAATCTAAATCTTCTTCACTTTCCTCACTCATGTCTGAAATGTCATCTTCACTTTTGTCCTAGTTTTCATCATCAGAACCACCTCTAACACATCTTCCTATCACCTCAGCTAGAGGAATACTTCCGGACCCCATTTTTAAAAGTTGTGCGTAATTCACACGCGTTCTTCCCTTTCAAACAATCCCTGTTGTAGTCACTGAAACGACTCAAATCTTTCTCAAAATGAACGCCAAGCACTTCACTTTCCCACAATACACTTGGCTATTGCCCAAGTAACCAGGCCGGCAATTAACAATTCAAAATGGCTGCCAGGGTCGAAATCGTACAAATTTGTACGACTGGTACAACTGGTAACTAAAGGGTTAAAGTTGAAGTGAACTGCAGCCAAGATGTGCCTAGGATGTAAATGCCTATTTGAGTCACAGGTTACATTACAATATACGTTAATTTTACAACATTAAGATGGGAACAGACAACCACAACCATGATTAAATGAATAATATGTTACGCCTAAAAATTTGGGTGGGGCTTGTGGATGCAATTCTGGGAACCCTTAACCTTTTTCTGACCCAAAAAATGTGGATTTGCAAACCTTAGTTTTGACTGTAAAAAAGAGCTTTTTGGTAATAGCCATACCAAATTCCAGATAATAAAATTGTGCAAGAGCTATCACCATCATATAAGAACAAAAAGACCATAAACGATTTGTACCTGCAATACATGCCAACATAGGAGTAAGCAATCATCTTTGGCGCAAAATGGTTGAGGACCGAGTGAAAACCTTCCAAACAGCTTGTTTGGGAATGAGGAGAAGCTTGTTTAATTCCCCTTACCAGGGCCTTGTTGCTGAGTGCCTCACATAATTTTTCGTACACCAGTGTCCTTATTAATCAAGAAATGGAGAGATCAGAATCGGTACCTACTAACATGGAACTGACATGGTGTCAAATTACAAGGCTAGCATACCGCTAGAGTACTGTAGTACATTTTTGTGATGATTCTTTTACTACCTTATGCTATTTACATAATAGGATTTTCCGTTATTATTACATAAGGCAAGGGTTGGCTCTGGGGAGTATTGAGAATGTTGGTAATTTTCAAAAGTTTCATCTTCAAAGTGAACACTTGGGTGAACCCCCTCTCCAACATATTATCTGAAAAACAGCAAAGCAACAACCTTACTTTTACAAGGCTTCACCTATGAACATACCACTTCTTAGCCATTTCCGTGGTTCAACATTTCCATTGGCGCATTTATTGAACAGGGGATCACTGAAGCCAGAATGCTTATTGATGACATGATTAAGGAATCCCTTAAACGTTACCAAAATAACTCTCCCATTGCCACGGAAGGTAGAGGTGGCACTCCAATGGAGGTGCCTTTCACATGGCTTTACCCACTCAGGTAAGGCTTCACAGTCTTTCAGTTTTGCAATCTTCATAGTACTTTGCAGATTTTCTGTGGGAAGACATAAAGAGAAAAAACAGAACTTTCGTAAGGGTTTGGATTGATCATGTAATGCATCAGTCAATGTCTAGGCCTCCAGGGTTCAAAATTTACTTTTATGTCCAGTTGCCTCTGGGGCAACCACAAGACTTGGTTTGGTTGCCCATAGAATATTTTGGTTGTCCAAGCTCTTGCCCCAGTTCAAGCCAAGAAACTAATACAGGTAGCTAAACAGTGGCTTTTATTAATTTGAACAAGAAAATGAAATACAAATACAGTGAAGTGTATTCAAGAGTATCTTAATAAAATGTTTTGACCAGCCTGTGTCTCGTTATTTTTGTCCATTAGTATTAGTATTAGTATTATAAAAATCAACAAACATTACAGTATAATAACAGGAAAAAAAATTGGAAGTTGGAACGTCACAAATGAACACTTTTTCGGAAAAGCTTGCCAGGAAACTTAATTCAAATGTCTTTAGAGTGTTGCAATTTACTGTTCTTCTTCAGAATCAGAGCTGTCTCCAGCATCCAGATCATGTTCACATCTTGCCTGTCTTCTTCTGGGTCCATTGGGCTGAATTTGGGGTCTTCTAGCTCTTCTCCCACCTTGCCACCACAGCCTTATAGCTTCCATTGGTTCAAATTCATTGCATGCAGGACCTAAAAGAGAAATGCGCATCAGTTCATTTAAGTGGGGGGTTGTTAGCCTTCGCCGCCAATCTTGTTTTACCCTGTTCATAAGAGAAAAACCTCTCTCAACTTCACTAGTGTGGATTGGAATCAGCAGCACGATCATAAGCACCAGGATGATATTCTTGAATCTATCCTCATTTTGTATGATAACTCTTTGCCGTAAGTCTAAGTAATAAACTGCTGGTTCAGCTGCCACCAAACCAGAAACATATATCTTCAATGAAACCCACTCCAAAGGAACAGAATCAATGTCACAATCATTCCTTATCAACAGTTCTTCAAAATGATCTACTACTGATGAAAGCTGTTCATTGCCATAGACCTGTAGCTCCTCTAAACCTAAGGGCCAGTTCTTAAAATTAAAAATGGACATATTCTTAAATATGTCCTCATTTTCAAATGAAGAAAACCTACGCTGAAGATGAGCAGCAATTGCGTCGAGTACGGCCTGCTTGTTACGGCTGGCATTCAGTATTGCACTATCTCTGTCACCTACAAGTTCCTGTCCCTTATAAACAGTTCCATCTCCAACTTCCCTCAAAAATACAGCTTCATGACTTCCTGGTGTTGTACCTAGGCCACGAACACCAGACAAAGTTGTTGCAACACATGTGGTTATATTCTCCACTGAAGTGTCATTAGCCTGGAACTTGAGAGACATTCTTGCCAGAATCTGGCAAAGGTCCAGAAAGAAATGAAGAAAGTAAACAAATTCAAATGACCTGAGGAGCCTCACAAAGCCTGTAGCTTTTGCTTTGGCATCAGCTGATTGGCCATTAATGGACACAGAGTCTAGGTGGGCCAGAAGACAAGGCCAATCCTGCTTGATTGCTTTTGCTGCTTGTGCGTGATGGGGTATCCACCATGTTCCCTTAACATTGGCTGGTTTCAGAACCTTGATATTCAAAGCAGTTCCAGTTTCCTTCAAGTTGTGCCAGTTGAGGGGTGAATTACTATAAAACTTGTAAATGGATAGAAGGAAGTCTTCCACCTTAGCCAGGTAGGCAACTTGCTTGATACTGTCCTTTATACCAAGTTCTAATCGATGTGCAACGCAATGTACAGAAATTAAGTGTGGTACATCAGCTTTAATCTTTGTAACTACACCATTTCTAATCCCAATCATGACAGAAGCACCGTCTGTGCTCATCCCAACAGTCTTGTTATGCCATTCATTTGGTTGCATGTCTGTCTCATCAAGGAAAGCCTTATCAATTCAAAGTAGACAGACTGCAAATCATCTTAGTTGCTAAAAAATATATATCTACGTGTCACAACTGTTTATCAGTAGGATGCCTAAAATGCGTGCAATTCCACAATTGGTTTCGACTCCATTAAATCATATACCAATTGCAGAACATTTTAGGAGGAGCCACCCACCATGTGAGCACAGTCACGGACAATGTATAAGTGAGGAAAATGACGCAAAGTAAAATTAAGACGTTAATAAACGAACTTAATGTACACGTCAATTAAATAAATAAACAAATAATGCGCGTGCACAAAATAAAATTGTACGCGCACACGTACCGAGATGCAACTGAAATACAACACTATGCAATAAATAAGTAATGTAAGGATACGATAGTGCAATTCAAGCCTGGATTGCTAATCTCATCTCCCGCAGGGCTGCACCATACTTCTCGACGATAAGACTATGGCGACTGAAGAATTTATTAAATGATTTCTGAAGTAGATTGGTTTCAAGGCCTTGCTGTCTGAGTCGTAATGAAAGTCCATGGAGTCTATTGATGAAGTCAACTTTGGACATGCAAATTCTAGCATATCTCACCAGTTGAGATATATAAACACCGTAAGCTGGATTGGTGGGAATGTTGCTGTCCATATGAGGAAAGTTGACAATCCGAAATGCAAAGTCCTCTCTCTTATCATAGATGCTGATACGGAAAAGTGTGTTGTCGCCAGTCTTGATATTAGTGTCGAGATAACACACTTCAGTAGATGATGTGGAAGTGTCCAATAGCTGCAACAATGCCTACTGCATCTGCCTTACCTAATGCCTGAATAGACAAGAACTTTGTTACAGGTCTACCATCTTCAAGATATCTTACATAAACCAGTTCCTCATCAGTAACAGAGATGTCAGTTGATGAATCATTCAGAACAGAGGACATTTTGGCCTGCTGAAGCTTGTTAGCAAAATCTTTCTTCACAGTTTCAGCAATATAATGCGTAAATGTTGCCGCCCGTTTATCATTCATGTGACTCTTACCAGTGTTAACACCATTTCTTTCCTGGAGGCTGCATAGTCCAACAAAATCCCTAAAAGGTCGTTCTGCTCGAGTCAGATAGTACACGGTATGAAAAAGTTTCACTAGGCGATCAAGAGCTTCCTTTTCCATGTTAATCAGACACGCTTCCAGTGGTGCCGTTCCAGGTTGAGCATTGCTAGCATCATGAGCTAATTTGGCTGTCTTGTGCACCTCACTTATTTTATGTTTTTTGATCCCATCAAGACGAAACTGTTGTTACCTTTTTCGCTCCCAAAGGCAGACTTATCTTTCGAAAACTGTCTGCAATAACTGCAAAACATAGCGTTTTCTTTCTCGTCAAATTTCAGCCAGGGTCTTCTAGTCTTCCATGACTCTTGAAATGTACGACACCTTTTTCTTGAACTTTCTTGCGCCTCGCCTAATTCTGCTGTAGTTTTTGCGACACCCGTAGCATTGCTTTGAGCATCACCTTTCTTCGTGGCTTCCAAATTGTTGTTATCGCCAACAGCCTTCACTTTCTCACGGCCGAAGTAGCGGAAGAGGCTCATGTTAACTAAGATGATAATAATAAGATGAATGGTAAATTGTCATTGTCGAAACAAACATGGCGGCATCACGGAGCGGATCTCACTAGTGCATCATTGACTATGTTTACTGGTACCAACCGCTGATTAAAGCACAACAGGCTCTTTCAAATAAGAATGTTGTGCCAAAATGAACTTCGGTTTCCAACAGTAGTGTACATGATACTTTAGTTCTTTCCTTTAACTTAGTTTAGGTATCGCTTACTCTCCAAAGACAACAAGCTGTTATATTTATTCAAATCTATCAAGTCTTCATTAAGGACTAGTGCCACGACAGTTTGGGTCGCCCAAGGGGTAACCACTTAGCACCATTTGGTTGCCCCATTGTAATTTTGGTTGTCCGGGACAACTGGACAACCGTTGATTTCGAACCCTGGCCTCTTGCATTGGTTTAGGCTAATGCCCGACCCCCAGGATTGACAGTGTGTGCAAGTGCCCTGCAGTTGCCCCAGGCGGGAGGCGGGAGGCGGGGCGATGGTTGCAGCCGGAATTGATTGATGCATAATGTAATATAATACAATCTACAGTGATAGTGAAGACTGGTATATCCTTACTCTTCTTTAGATGCCAGATGTCGAAGTAGTGAACAATATTCGTAAGGACAATTTTCATGTGGCTGGCTATAGTGGAATGTCTGTCTGAAATGAATGTGGTGATCAGAAGGCTATAAGCCAGCGAGAAGTCCATGCAATGTTGAAATGCCATAAATTCCATCCCTGTACTATTTCCAGCTTCATTCCTCTATGAAAAAAATGATGGATATAAATAAAATAGAAAGACCAGTTTGATGTCTCCAATGAAAATTAAATTATTAGATATTGAAGCTTTTACTTGATAATTTCCATTTTCCAAGTGGAATATACATTATGGTTAAATTTTGTAAAACCCACTCCTTGCCGAAAATTTAGGAACATATAAGATTACCAAGCATATGCATTGTATTCATCGAGTATTTTGCTAAATAATGGAATGTCAACCAACAGGAACTTTGCCTTCTCAAAATTTACACCTACACAGGCGCGTAGTGTGGTCATTTTTTCAAGTACGCACAAGTACATGATCTAGAAACCTGAATAAACAGCGAAAAAACTGCGTTCTTTATTTCTTGTTTGAAATAGTTGCGTGAATACAAGCAACGAACAAAGCGTCGTACCCTTATTTTGAGCAAACTTGGCGTAAACAAAACATTGTTTTTGTTGTGGATCCCATCATCCTCGAACATGCGCTCAGCAGCGTTTTTCATTTTATAGTACAGTTGTCATTTATAAGCAAAGAACAAGGCGTCTTTCTTTGTGCTGTGCAAACTGGTCGAGCACACTCTCAACATTGATTTCTTTTTCCTTGTGGATGTGCAATATTGCTAACGATGAAAGGTGATCGTCAGTCATCGTGTTTCGTAGTGGCGTCTTCAACCTTTTCATCAAACTAAAGCTGCGCTCAGCAGCGCATGCCGACACAGGATACATCAAGAGTGTTTTTACTGCTACATAGATTGCTGGGTAGAATGCAGGATTAGCCACATCTAGAGTTTCTACCAACGTCTGCGGGAGAGGATCGGTTGGCTCCCTGATAGACCAGCGGTGCCTCCATCTGTCCACTTCAAGTTTGAACTCTTCCAACTCAATGGCCATGTCACCACCGTAGTGCTCATGGATCGACTTCAATTTTTCCTCCGTCAACTGGCCAAGCTTTCCCATAAGCAAGAACAGCAATTTGAGATCTATGTGCTAAACCACTGAGTGGTCAAATGAACATGATCCACAAAATTCTTGTACCCAATGCAATATCATTTACCTGGGATAAGGAGCTGAGCCTGGAAGCCTGGTAGTGGCACCACGAACTTTTCATTGGTCTCTGTGACGAGGTGATCTAGAAATGGCAAACACATTGCCCTCTTCCAATATGCTGATGGGGTATTTGCTGGAACGTTGTTGCGATGTTGTTGCCTTCCTGCTGTTCTTGGCGATGATGGATCAATGCTGTAATCCGAGGCGATTTCAATAGCCTTTTCCATCAAGGCCTCCCAAACAGCATCGTCATTTCGCTTTGCATTCAGAACAGAGGAGCAGGCTTGAATCAAGTTGAGATCAGGGCTCTGGGTCCCCAAAAATGGTTTTGATTCTTAGTAATGTGGTAAATGTAAAAATCAAGGATATACTATGATATCATTTGATTACTCACTTGGAGGTATACCGACAGCTTGTTAGTATATTCAAAAATGTGCTGGAGCACAACAAGAGTAATAATGAAGTCCCATTTCAGAATAGACGCGTGGAGTGCTGTGGCCTTGCAATCACCTTCCTCGCTTAGCTGGTCTAATGTGTCGATTATAACCTAAAAATGAACATTGATGGATAAGAAAAATGTTCCATTGTATTTAGCTCATAGAAGATGGGCTATGATCCAGATTATGAATATCAAGTAATACCTTGAAAGCGTCAACGAAAACTGACAGGTAATCTGCTCTGGGGGCCCAGCACGTTTCACAAAGCAGCTTCAGCTTTGAGCGCCTTCCCATTTCTTCTCTAGCAACAGGATTGTCTCCAAGTTGTTCCTTAAATACCAACAAACGTTTTGCAGAGAACTTAAAGGCCATGTAACTTCTTGCATGGTATCCATGATGTTTCTCACAAGTGGAAGCTTTGATATTAAAAAATTTTCCGCGAGTTGTAGTATTTAAAAAAAAAGAGTGATATTTTGTCTGAATGGCGTGGTTGCGTGAGATTGGGTCGAAAAGCGTGAGTCTCACGCCAAAAGCGTGAGACTTGGTATCTATGTTTAGATGCCAGATGTTGAAGTAGTGAACAATATTCGTAAGGATATTTTTCATGTGGCTGGCTATAGTGGAATGTCTGTCTGAAATGAATGTGGTGATCAGAAGGCTACAAGCCAGCCAGAAGTCCATGCAATGTTGAAATGCCATAAATTCCATCCCTGTACTATTTCCAGCTTCATTCCTCTATAAAAAAAATGATGGATATAAATAAAATGGAAAGACCAGTTTGATGTCTCCAATGAAAATTAAATTATTAGATATTGAAGGTTTTACTAGATAATTTCCATTTTCCAAGTGGAATATACATTATGGTTAAATTTTGTAAAACCCAGTCCTTGCGGAAAATTTAGGAACATATAAGATTACGAAGCATATGCATTGTATTCATTGAGTATTTTGCTAAATAATGGAATGTCAACCAACAGGAACTTTGCCTTCTCAAAATTTACACTTACACAGGCGCGTAGCGTGGTCATTTTTTCAATTACGCACAAGTACATGATCCAGAAACCTGAGTAAACTGAGCGAAAAAACTGCGTTCTTTATTTCTTGTTCGAAATAGTTGTGTGAATACAAGCAAAGAACAAAGCGTCGTACCCTTCTTTTGAGCAAACTTGGTGTAAACAAAACATTGGTTTTGTTGTGGATTCCATCATCCTTGAGCATGCGCTCAGCAGCGTTTTTCATTTTATAGTACAGTTGTCATTTATAAGCAAAGAGCGAGGCGTCTTTCTTTGTGCTGTGCAAACTGGTCGAGCACACTCTCAACGTTGATTTCTTTTTCCCTGTGGATGTGCAATATTGCTAATGATGAAAGGTGATCGTCAGTCATCGTGTTTCGTAGTGGTGTCTTCAACCTTTTCATCAAACTAAAGCTGCGCTCAGCAGTGCATGCCGACACAGGATACGTCAAGAGCGTTTTTACTGCTACATAGATTGCTGGGTAGAATGCAGCATTAGCTACATCCAGAGTTTCTACCAACGTCTGCGGGAGAGGATCGGTTGGCTCCCTGATAGACCAGCGGTGCCTCCATCTGTCCACTTCGAGTTTGAACTCTTCCAAATCGATGGCCATGTCACCACCGTAGTGCTCATGGATCGACTTCAATTTTTCCTCTGTCAACTGGCCAAGCTTTCTCATAAGCAAGAACAGTAATTTGAGATCTATGTGCTAAACCACTGAGTGGTCAAATGAACATGATCCACAAAATTCTTGTACCCAATGCAATATCATTTACCTGGGAAAAGGAGCTGAGCCTGGAAGCCTGGTAGTGGCACCACGAGCTTTTCATTGATCTCTGTGACGAGGTGATCTAGAAATGGCAAATACATTGCCCCCTTCCAATATGCTGATGGGGTATTTGCTGGAACGTTGTTGCGATGTTGTTGCCTTCCTGCTGTTCTTGGCGATGATGGATCAATGCTATAATCTGAGGCGATTTCAATAGCCTTTTCCATCAAGGCCTCCCAAACAGGATCGTCATTTCGCTTTGCATTCAGAACAGAGGAGCAGGTTTTTGCTTCTTCAGAGGCTTGAATCAAGTTGAGATCAGGGCTCTGGGTCCCCAAAAATGGTTTTGATTCTTAGTAATGTGGTAAATGTAAAAATCAAGGATATACTATGATATCATTTGATTACTCACTTGAAGGTATGCTGACAGCTTGTTAGTATATTCAAAAATGGGCTGGAGCACAGCAAGAGTAATAATGAAGTCCCATTTCAGAATAGACACATGGAGGGCTCTGGCCTTGCAATCGCCTTCCTCGCTTAGCTGGTCTAATGTGTCGATTATAACCTAAAAATGAACATTGATGGATAAGAAAAAATGTTCCATTGTATTTAGCTCATAGAAGATGGGCTATGATTCAGATTATGAATATCAAGTAATACCTTGAAAGCGTCAACGAAAACTGACAGGCAATCTGCTCTGGGGGCCCAGCGCGTTTCACAAAGCAGCTTCAGCTTTGAGCGTCTTCCCATTTCTTCTCTAGCAACATGATTGTCTCCAAGTTGTTCCTTAAATACCAACAAACGTTTTGCAGAGAACTTAAAGGCCATGTAACTTCTTGCATGGTATCCATGATGTTTCTCACAAGTGGAAGCTTTGATGCATGGACAATACAGAGGTTTAAGACGTGAGGTCGACAATGGACATAAACAGCATTTGGATTTACTTGACGAATCCGTGTTTGCACACCACTCACGTGCCCACTCATCACACTGGCACCATCATATCCTTGGGCTCTTATATCATTCACTGAAAGACCGACACTCTGGATGGTCTCTAGAAATTTTGTTGTGAGTTCCTCAGCATTGGTTCCTTTGTCTGCATGTACAAAAGTAAGGAATTCTTCACGTATGAAATGTTTCCTGTCCTCTTTCGTGCTAACAAAACGTATACAAACAGAAATTTGCTCTTTATTTGTGACATCAGTCGAATCATCAGCAATTAACGCATAAATGACAGATCTCTTGCAGTTGTCAATTATGCCATTGAGAATCTGCTTTGCTGAAAAAAGATGATCTCGTTCTGGATATCTGGACTTGTATACTTGGAAATCCGAGGTGCGTTTTCTAGGTGGTCATGCAGAACTGAGTTTTCTTTCCCCAATACAGACAGCATTGCCATAAAATTGCTGTCTTCCTCTTGGTGACCTCTGATAGCTATGTTGTGCTTCCCCATCATAACTAGCACCTCTATTGTACACTTGAGAATCATTCTATTCCTTCTAACTTGTTCTGCTCTCTGAGAGTGAAGCTGTTGACAGATGTTAGGTGCACCACCTTGCTGTGTGTGCAGAAATGCTTCCCCGTGACCTACTGCAGTGTGATGAGCACTTTTTTCGCACACATGCTTCTTCACTAGTTTAGAAATATTGGACCAATCACGAGTACAGAAAGAACAATCATGGGTGATGAATAATAAACAGTAACAATAGTAGAGGGTGTCTAGCTGTCGAAGGGCTGTATCTCAACCAGGGTGTTCTTGCAATGATGTCGGGGTTTATCTTTCTATTCTTTCTGGAAATGTTTCTAAAAATATACAAGTAAGGCCAATTACTAAATTTTTCAAAATTGACTTGTACTAGATTATTCTGGGAAAAAATCTTGTGTGGGTGCTGCGACTGCTTGAGAATTTTCTGTAAAATCATCATATGCAATATTTCTGAGTAGAGGTTTGACGACCAGCCAGGCAATACGGTCGAGCAGCTTACCTTCTGCATCGTTAGATCCACTATTTTCGTTTTGGATAACACTGAAAAAATCTTTGATGGATCTTTTTGACATATTATGTATCACATAAAAGCAAACGGGAAATATAGATGTGTTCGAATCTGTTTTATAGTCAGAGCTAGCGAAACTGCAGTTGTCAACAACGTTCTCGGAACGTCGCTCCTTTGTCAAGAACGTTCTTGGAACGTCGCTCCTTTGCAACCTCGCCTTTTTGAATTGTTGCATGCTGTCCAAACAACACTGCATTGTTTAGTGTAAAAAAAGTGCAATGCAAAGTTAGAACATGGGATAGCTTTTGTTTTAGTTTTTAGAATTTAATCAAAGTGGTGTTTTCATCACGAAATCTTGGTTGCGTGCAAGTAAAATGTTAAAAATAGAAACAATTGCTAAAGATTTCAAAATTTTCTGTTCACTTCAAGTACGCACGTGCGCATATGCGTATAGGACGCTACACACCTGCTACAGGGTGTAACTGATATGAAACTTCTTAGTCTAATGATGATTATATATAGTCACACCAAAATAATTATAACTCACTTCTATTGATCATTTATTTTGTTTTGGAAATACAAAATGTACTTGATTAACACACTTGGTTAGTCTTTCTTCCAGTCAAAACAAAATAACATACACTGAGAAGATTGAACCAAAAATAAAATCAGACCACAACAATCACAACAAGAATACAGTCATATACTGATGCC